CCACCGCTCGGCACATGTCCCCGGGCTGTGCCAAGCCTCTCTCGCTTGCACACCAGCCACTCTCGCACCCCCTTCTCGCTTCTCTGTGATGCTCCACCCTTCTCGCCCACTTTTGCCCCTCGACCTTCTCCCGGTCTATAAATAGCCCTGCATGTCTGAGCCTATGTTGAACACCAGTTCGAACAAAATTTGTTCTTTGGTGTTCGGGGCTAAAAGCTAATAAAGCTCATACCAAGCACTTGGTCTTCGTCCTTGCGCTTGTTCACTCCTTACAACCGTGGAGGTACACTCGGAACTTCTGCAGCGCGTAGATGATCGCAAGCTGCTCCTTCTCGTGCACGGGATAGTTGATCTCGTGTTGGGACAGTTTGCGCGACTCGAAGGCAACGGGCCTTCCCTCCTGCATCAAAACAGCTCCCACCGCAAAGTCGGAGGCGTCGGTGTGCACGGAGACATCCGTGTTCGGGTCGAACACAGCGAGGACAGGAGCGTTCGTCAAGGCGTGCTTGAGGGTCTCGAACGCTTGGCGTTGTGGGTGGTCCCACACGAAGGGGCACTCTTTGCGGAGTAGGTCCGTGAGTGGACCGGCAGTGCGCGCCAGATCGGGGATGAATCGGCGGTAGTAGTTGACGAGACCGAGAAACGACTGCACGTCAGAGACGCATGCGAGCGGCGGCCACTCGACCACAGACTTGACCTTGGCGGGGTCGACTTCGATTCCTCTTCCCGAGACAACGTGTCCCAGGAACGGGACTTGATTCTGGAAGAACTCGCACTTGGACAGTTTGGCATACAACTTGTGCTCGCGTAGCTTGGCCAGCACGCGGGCGACATGACCTTCATGGGTCGCTTCATCCTTGCTGTACACAAGGATATCATCCAGGTACACGATGACAGAGTTGTCGAGCTCTTGGCGGAACACATCGTTCATCAGCTGCATGAACGTGGCAGGTGCGTTCGTCAATCCGAACGGCAGCACTAGGAACTCGTACAGTCCGTAGCGAGTCCTGAAGGCGGTCTTGTGGACATCATCCTCGTGGATGCGGATCTGATGGTAGCCTGAGCGGAGGTCAATCTTGCTAAAGACCTTTGCTCCACTCAGACGATCCATCAACTCGTCGATCCTTGGCAACGGGTAGGTGTTCTTAATGGTCTGTTTGTTTAGTGCGCGATAGTCGACGCACATCCTGAGATCACCTTCTTTCTTCTTGACAAAGAGCACTGGTGCACCATACGGTGACTGGCTCGGGCGGATGAACCCATGGGCGAGGAGGTCATCCAACTGGCGCTTGAGTTCGTCCATCTCCGTCAGCGACAGTTGGTACGTCGGTCTTGACGGAGGCGACGAGCCTGGTTCGATGTCGATGCGATGATCGACGGTGCGTTGGGGTGGCAGGCATTGTGGCAACTGGTCGGGGAATACGTCCTTGTACTCGTCGAGCAGCTTGGTCACCACAGGCGGGGGACCGGGACCGGCTTGGTCGGTGTCGTCGACCTCACGCACGACACAGAGGAACGACGTGTCCTTCTTGATCAGCCTCTTGAATTGCATGGCTGAGAGGAGAGGTGGCATGTTGGGTGAGGCCATGCCCTGCAGGACAATGTCAGGGCCAACACGGACAGTGCGGCCTTTCCAGTCGACGACTGGAGTCGGCTCGGCACGAGCAAGCCAGCTCATGCCGAGGATGGCATCGAACTTGGTGTCGATCACTTGGAACAACAGGACAGGATGGTACTTGGGATGGAGGGCCACTCGCAGGACCACTTGGTGTGTGCACTGCTGCACACGATCGTCTGCAAGCGCCACACTCATCGGCGACTTCTTCTTGGTTGCATGTATGTTGAGCTCCTGGAGCAAGCGTCTGCTGACAAAGTTGCAGCTTGCTCCAGAGTCCACCATCATTCGGACGGTGTGACCTTGGACGGTGGCAGGGAGGTACAGCAGGGACTCTTCATGGTCCTCCTGCACAGCCTCCTGCACCATGACTTGACTTGGGGGAACGGGCGACACTTGGTCTTGGTTGGCTTCATCACGGCCACTCGGACATTTTGGATAGGGTTCGGCCATTGCGGGGGCCTGCGGCGTCAGCACGCCATTGCACACGACGTCCACGGCTTGCGGACACATGTCGGAAGCATCCGACACACACGACTTGACAGGGGTGAGGGCACAGGCGGTCCTGTCCCTCAAGGGTTCTTGATTTTCTTTTTTGTTTTGGTTTTCAATTTTGGTTTTCTCTTCACGTTCGTGGAGAGGCAGGCGGCTTGCGCCACCATGCACCTCTCGCACGACGCACAACACTTGGTTTGTTTCTCCTTCGGGGGAGGGGGCGAGGTGAACTTCCTCTGGAGACGCGTGGACTGCATTGAGCAATCCACGGCGTTGGTCTCCTACTAGGGCTCCAGAGCCACCTAGTAGGGTCGGCCGTTTCCCGACTTCATGGGGCACTCCTTGGCCTGGTGTCCCGGTCGGTGACAGAAGAAGCAGGAACCATGGCGGAGGTCCTCCTGCTTCTGTCTGTCCTTGGGGGAGACAGTGGCAGCTTGCTGGAACCGGGAGCGGGGAGGGCCACGAGCCTCCATGGCGTTGACGTCAACGTCCATGGGCTCAGGCATGGGTCTTGCGGGCGGGGCCGGGCGAGGCGGACGGGCTGGGACGTGATGAGACCGATGGCCGCCTGCCAGCTGCGGGTAGAACTGGCGGCCATGGTACTGGACGTTGTCGAGGTTCTCGGCAACGTCCATCATCACGTCCAGGGACTTGCGGGCATCAGGGTTGCTGGCGATGTACTCTCTGATCTTGGGCTTGAGGCCCTTCTGGAAGAGGTACATCGCATCAGCAGAGCCCAGCTCCTCAATCTGGGAGGAGAGGTCTTCAAACTCCTCGATGTAGCGGGTCACAGAACCACGCTGCACGAGAGAGTATAGCTTGTCACGGGCAATGAGTTCAGCATTGGGGCTGCCGAAGCGGCGACGGAGGCGGTCCTTGAAGTCGTCAAACACACCTTCGCTCTGCTCGTCGAACCCTTGGCGGCGGTACCAACGGTACGCCTGGTCCTTTAAGCAGAGCTTGGCGGCGACGATGTGGTGGGTGGGGGCGACTTGGGCAGCATCGAGGTAGTCCTCGAGTTGCTGCAGCCAGTCCTCCACCGAGGAGGAGCGGCTCTTCCCAGTAAACACTGGGGCACGGAAGGTCTTGAGGAAGGCTTCCGGAAGTGGGCGGGGGTTGCTCATGGCAGGGGCAGGCTCCAGGGACAGAGAGGAGAGTCGGTCGGCAAGAGAGGCGGGATCCAGCTTGAGGATCTAGAAAGAGGACAAACAGGACGAAAACAAGACGAGGATTTCCGATGCTACCATGTAACGTCCACTACTGGGACGTTGGGGCAAGACGGGGAGGGAGGGGGTACAAGACAAGACAGGACAGGGCAGAACAGGGCGGTGCTAGGCTACTCTAGCGGACGGGTGAGCTCGGGAAGCACTTACGTTTATTCACGATAAAACCGAACTCCAGACAAACGGGGGGAACGGGGGCAACCCGCAGGTATACCCTGCGGTGGCCTGCCTGCGGTGCGTGAAAACGCAAAGCGCAGCACAGGTCACGACCCACTGCGCCGCGCAGTACGCGCAGTACGCGCAGCACAGCGTCGGAGATACCATCTCCTACAAGATCACCCTCCTACCCGACGATTGCTGGTCTCGCGCAGCTCAACAACCAGCCCCAGGACCCGAGGTTATCACCGACAATGCCAGGAAATTGGAGATCCTTCGATCCAGGCACGACGCCCCTGCCGCCGGACATCCTGGCCAGGCGAGAACCTTCGAATTGGTGAAGCGCGATTTCACCTGGCCTGGGATCCGCAGGTATATCAAGGACTATGTCAAGACTTGTGACGTCTGTCAGAGGGCCAAGGCGGGATGCCACAAGCCCTACGGACTACTGGAGCCCCTTCCCATCGCGGATACCCCTTGGTCCTCCGTGAGCATGGACTTTATTGTCAAGCTTCCATGCTCACAGGGTTTCGATTCCATCCTGGTCTTCGTTTGTCGAAGGACCAAGCAGGCGCACTTTGTGCCCTGCAAGGAGACGATCGACGCGGCTGGTGTGGCTAACTTGTTTATTAGCAGTGTGTTCCGTCTGCACGGACTCCCACAGGACCTAATTTCGGACCGTGGACCCCAATTTCGGTCGCAATTTTGGAAGGCCCTCACCTCGGCCCTGGGTGTGCAGCTCAAGCTCTCTACGGCCTTTCACCCTGAAACGGACGGTCAGACCGAGAGGGTAAACCAGACCCTAGAGCAGTACTTAAGGTGCTTTGTTAGCTACCAGCAAGATAATTGGAGTCAACTCTTGCCGATGGCTGAATTCGCCCACAACAACGCCGTCAATACAAGCACCAAGCTGTCCCCGTTCGAGGCCAACTACGGATTTAATCCAAGAGCGGACTGGGAACGCACGGAGGTCGACAAGGTCGGCTCACCTTCTGCAGCCACGCACCTCGAGCGACTTCAAGTCGTCAGCAAATTCCTCGATGAAACACTTGCAGAGGCACAACAGAGTGCCAGTCGATTTGCCAACCGTCACCGACTGGACCACGACTTCAAGCCAGGCCAGAAGGTGTGGCTCCTACGCAAGAATATCCAGACCCGCCGTCCGTCGTCCAAGCTCGACTTTATAAAACTCGGCCCGTTCAAGATATTAGAACAGATCAACCCCGTCGCGTTTAGACTTGCACTGCCCGACAGCGTGAAGATTCACCCAGTTTTCCACGTGAGCATGTTTGAAACTTACCATCCTAACCGCATCAAAGGGCGAGAGGCTGATCCTCCTCCGCCTGTAGAGATAGATGGGGAAGAGGAGTTTGAGGTGGAAGAGATTCTAGACGCAAAGTATTTTGGACGTACGCTTAAATTTCTGATCAAGTGGAAGGGATACTCGGACATAGACAATACCTGGGAGCCCGAGCGTAACTTGGCTCACTGCCCCCTGGTGCTTAGAGATTTTAGACAAAGGTACCCCCACAAATTGCATAGACCTAAGGGGGGGGGATGATGTTATGAACGCGGTCGCCGATCATACGACGCGTCATTCATGACCCGCGCTGCATGGCCACTCGGGCGTGATTCATGACCGTGGGAAACATAGGTCGGAGCTCGAATATATTCTCCGCAGGGCGAGCAGGGGAGGGTGAGGCATAGACTTAAATAGAACACCCCGTCCCCTCCTGGATGAACGCTAGTGAATTATCACCTCAATAAACGATCATCACTCTCCTTGCCAGCCCCTGTTCAGCCCTGCCCCTGCTTCCTTGTTCTTGCCCTCGGTTCCTCAGTCCTGCCCCTGCCCAGTTCCTGACAGACTCGATATACTCGCCCACATAGTCCGGGTCAGCAATCTTGCGTCGGGTGAACGCCAGGATCTTGGGATGAATGCGAGTTTCAGAGTCGAGCGGGCGAGTTCTATCGGATGCGCTGGCGAAGCGGCGGATGAGGATTCCCAGGAACGCATAGCGCCATCGCTTCGTATTGAGCTTGTTCTTGAGCGTCTCGTCGCGTAAGCTCTCGTGATGCTCGAGAGGACGATCGGGCCGCTGGACAAACGAGATGGGTAGATCGAGAATGACGATTCTGCGGGTGGTGCCGCGGTCGAAGATAGCCTCTGGAGCCAGGGTTGGGTAGTGGTTGGAAGCGACCAGCACCTTCCAGCATGGTGTGATCTCGGCGCCTTCTTTGCACATGCCACGGATATATAGCTTCTCCTCGCTGCAGATCATCTTCAGGGCGACATCGTCGAGGACCACATCGCCGGCGCGGCCTTTGCGGGTCTCTGATGCGATCGCAAAGCGGGCCCTGGCCAGCTTCATGAGGGTTGGGGTGGGTGCTTCGGGTGAGTAGATGACGCTAGAGGTATGGCACAGATATGCTCCATCGAAGCGACCGCAGAGCTCGGCACCGAGGGTGTTCTCGATCAGGCTGAGCAATACACTCTTTCCGTTTGAGCCGTTACCGATCATGAAGACGACCATCTCACCGTTCTTGGCGCCGGTGAGACCGAGTGAGACAAAGTCCAGAAGGAAATCGATTTGCTCCTCGCGGGTTCGCATGATCTCGCGGAGGAACTGCATGATCTCCATATATGCCTCGGTGCCCTCGCGCATGGCTTGTTCGTTGTAGCTGAGCTTGATGTACAAGCTGCATCGATCATCGGCTCGGGCACGGCGGGTTTTGAGGGTGGTCAGGTCCAAGACGGTGCCACACTTGAATGTGATGATATCGTTGCGGGTGTCCAAGGACTCGAAAAACTGGACAAAGTCCTTCCCAAAGGCCGTGTATGCCATGCGATTGAGGCTGTTGATCAAATTCGGTGTACCAAGCACCCGTGAAAGATTGAAGATGGCCTTGAGGGTGACTTCGCAGTGAGGGTACCGATCTCGGTTGGCGACGTAGTAATTATTCATGGAAATTAGGTCGCGCTTGAAGCAGTTCTTGACCTTCTCATTGTGGGTCATGACACCGTTGAGGAATGTGTTGATGGTGTCTTTGACCCAGTACTTCCCGTTGAAGAGATAAGTAAAGTCGTCGTTCAGTGTCGACGTATGGACCAGATGGCGATAGGTGTGGGCAAGGTACTTGACAATGTCATCAGGGGTGCCATGGAGAGTGCGCTTGAGAAGATCACAGCGAATGGGGTCACCGGGAAATGGCTCGTAGCCATCGTCAAGGCAGTCGAGATTGTCGATCAGGTTGAGAATCTGGTCCCCATCTTCGTACATGTCGTCAAAATAGGCGACTTCGGCATTCGTGTAGCTCTGGGTGGCGAGGTTTCCATTGTGAACAACGGCGTTGACCGTGGTGTTGGTATTGAGGTGGATATCGCCATTGAAGTTGACTTGGATGGCCATAGTCGTACCAGGGGGGAAATGGCTCTCGTTGGGAAAGGCGCGGCGCATCTCGCCGAGGGCCTGCTTGAAGCTCTCGGTGAGCATGTTGCTGAGAGGCAATGGCTGCTTGGGGACGAACTGGTGGCACTCGGTGCAGTAGGTCGCTGCCAGGGTGTTGGTGTCGATGTAGAACTCGACGGAGCGGCCGTTGCAGAGGCGACACGAGGTATGGACGACGGCTTTGGCACCCTTCATGGTGAATTGACACTGCTCCACGGCCTCATGACGAACCCCAAGATACTCGTGGGCGGCCTGACGCACCCCATCGTCGATGTCGACAGCGGCGAATTGACGCACAATCGATTGGAAACGGGTGTCGTCGTCGAAGCTGCCGGCGATCCAGGCACTGACGGACTCGAACTCGGACGACTGAAGAGGCTGGATCGCAAAGGGCTTCTCAGCACAGCAATCGATCTTGCCGGCGGTGATACCGGATTTGCGAATGGCGACGGTGACCAAGCTGGGATCGATCGCGCGCTTGCCACAGTGAGGGCAGAGGGTCTGGGAGAACTCGGCGTGGATGGCCTTCTGATGGTAATACACAGCCTGGATGGCATCCATCTCGAGGCGGCGGGAGAAGAAGACGCACTGGACATGCTCGGGCATCCCATCGGTCGGGATATCGAAGCGCTCATCGGGATTGAGGGTGGTGAGGAGATTAGGCTGGATTGCGGCGGATTCCGACGCGACTTGGGACATCTTTGCAAGCTCTTGATCCTTTTTTTGCTGACGCTCGGTCTTGAGGAGACCCTGGGATTTCATGAATGCCTTGATGGCCTTGGGCACCTTGGTGAATTTGACGGGCTTGTGCTTCTGCCCCTTGCACGAGTCGACATCCCAGCACATGCGAGCAGCACCCTCGGCATCGAAGCGGATGTACTGCGTGTTACTGGAGCGCTTTATGGTGGTCGAGCTTGAAGTAGCAAAGCCGATGAGAGAGGGGGATATACAGGAAGGGATTGACCGGGTTGCGGTAGATCTTGGCCGCATCGACTCGGATCTGGTCGCGGTCGGGAATATCAAAATTGCCGAATACGAACTCGACCAGATCGCCGCGAAGGTCGGCTGGGATATCGACGGGTGCGCTGGATGCGCAGTCGCCGTCGACACTGATATCATCGCCGTCACCAGCGAGATCGACAGGGACAGAGTCGCTGCCATCGGTTCCGAGACGGATGGAGAATGCGTTGAGGTCGGCAACGGTGAAGGCGGCACCGGGACGTCTGACCCATTGGTGATCAGCGTAGTCCCATTGGGCAATGTGGTAATGCTCGTTGAAGCTGGTGTCGGACTCCTTGCGCTGCTTCCAGGAATGCAGCATACGCAGACCCGAACGATAGACGCTCGAGTCAAAGAAGGTGTCGGGGACAGAGGAAGGAGCACCAGCCTTGAGGCGATCGATCACGTGCTTGGCATTGTCGGGAGTGATCTGCAGATTGGGCCAATGGAAATGGCAGCCCGCGATCTTCGAGCCATCGTGGGTGGTGCGCATGGTGACGATGGGGGCGTCGTTGATGGTGCTGCTGACATGGTCATACATGGCCTTGTAGAGACCATGGGCACCATCGGCATGCTGGGATGCAAGCTGGCTGCCATCGAGATCCATGAAGAAATTGAAGAGAGCGTCGGTGCGCTCGATCATGGAGACACGGTAGCCCTGCAAGTACTTGGCGAGGTACTGGCGATGGAAACGGTCGAGACCGGCCTCGGGAATGTGGTGGGTCAGCCTGCCAGGAATGAAGGGAGCCCCATGGGTCTGGGGGAGCTCGCTGTTGCTGCGTTTGTACTCGGGAAAGTTGAAGGTGTCGCCGGGACGGGCGAACTCGACAAACTCGAGGCCGTTGCGCTCCTCGATCGAGTGGACGACCCACGGGCGATCGGGGAACTCGCCATCGAGATCGGCCTGAAGCGGGACACACACGCGGACGACAAAGTGATCGGAGAGGCGCTGAGCGAACTTGGCCAGATCAGTGGTGCTCACACAGGCAGAGCGAACGATCACAAGACCGGAGACATCGAGATGCTCGACTTGGTGGAACGGAAAGAGCTGCTGGACCGCATCGACACCGGCGGAATCGAAGGTCTGGAAGACGGGACGAACGGTCTGGCTGAGAGGGGCTGGCATTGGTTCGGGTGCACTGCGGGATGCGAGGGCAAGGGAATGCCTGAGGGAACTGGGGATGCGCAAGACTTTTGTGTGGCCCCGGACAGCGCAGTAGTGGAGTACCCGCCAAACGTCCCTGTACGTACAGGGACTTGGTTCCCTGGTGTGGCGGGAGCAGCGCTGCAATCGCACCATGCCCGAGGCTGTGTGTGGCAGTGTATGTGGCCCGGGTGTAGAATGTGAGTCGCTCGTGTTGAGCATCAGTGTGAGTGGACATGCCTGCGATTTCGCAGTAACGGTTTTGAAACCATGGAGATCATCCCCCCGTCCTGGTCGCCAAACACCACCATGACCCATGTCCATTGTCGACGAGTGGCGCAGCGCGAATGTATTCATGACTGTGTCGACAAACAAAACAATACACCATTCATTCAGCCACGCTCAGTCTTGACCTTGGTACCCTTGGAGGCCTTGGGTGCGGGAGTGAAGGAGTGACGCTCTCTGGGGGAGCGTTCACTCATGACGCCAGCAATGATCTTTGGGGTGCAGAGAAGCCAGTTGAGAACATTGACGCGATTGAGAGCGAGAAAGACAGGACTGGGTGCTGCGGGTCCGAGGCTCACCTTGCTGACGGCATCCGTATCGATGGCCTCGCCTCTGTCCGAGACAGACATGAGTGCACTCACGATCCTGGCGAGTTCCTCGGCCTTCTTGGCATCGGCGGCCTTCTGCTCGGGGGAGACAAAAGCAGGTTCGTCGTGATCCTCGGCATCCCAAAAGGCCTCGGGGGCGCGGGTAGTGCGCTTCATATGGGTGCGACGAGGAGTCGATGGACCGGGCTCGTTGTCCGAGTCGGAGTCGTAATACACAGGCTTTCGATCCACCTGCATCACCTCCAGATAGGAGCGCGTGGGATACCGGTCGTGCCACTCACAAACATTGCGACCATGAAGCGACTTGCACGAACAGCGGATCTTCAAGTCGGACTTCTTGGTCATGTGGGTGCAGCGACCCACATAGTCCGCTTCGGGGAAGCGGCGGTGATGGAAGCACCCGTCAAAGCCCTCCATGCAGGACTTGGAGCACTGCAGAGTGTAACCCGACATGCCGGTGGCATAGGGGCATCGATGGTTGTAGCCTGTAACGTCCACTACTGGGACGTTGGGGCAAGACGGGGAGGGAGGGGGTACAAGACAAGACAGGACAGGGCAGAACAGGGCGGTGCTAGGCTACTCTAGCGGACGGGTGAGCTCGGGAAGCACTTACGTTTATTCACGATAAAACCGAACTCCAGACAAACGGGGGGAACGGGGGCAACCCGCAGGTATACCCTGCGGTGGCCTGCCTGCGGTGCGTGAAAACGCAAAGCGCAGCACAGGTCACGACCCACTGCGCCGCGCAGTACGCGCAGTACGCGCAGCACAGCGTCGGAGATACCATCTCCTACACTCCCACACTTAAGAAGGCTTCCTGCGAGGAGCCCTGCGTGTGCTCTTTATTTGGGGCTCCTCGAGGTGTTTACCGTATTTACTCAGCTCCTCGGGTGCATGGGACAAGTCCTCCAGTGTTTGCCATGTGTTGCCCGAGTGTGGGTAACCAACCCACTTGACATAAAACCGAAGTGACCCATCAGCCACTTTCTTGTGCCTCACGATCCTTTCGACTTCATATTCTTGAGTATAGTATTGTCCGAGGTCGTCTTCCAGTGGTGCGTCGTCCGGGACACCTTCGTCGGCGTCGGGGAACTGTGCTGGACTGCGGGTCGTGTGGCGACGCAGCTTGGACACATGGAAGACAGGATGGAGCTTGCTTCCAGGTGGCAAGTCCAACAGGTAGTTGAGGGGACTGGGTCGGGCCGCTATCTTGAACGGTCCTCGGTACTTGGGCAACAACTTCTTTGACTGGGCTTCGGGGACCTTGATGTTGTCGGCGTCCAGGTAGACAAGGTCTCCAACTTCAAAGGAGACATCCTGGTGTCGGCGGTCGTAGTACTTCGCCATCACTTGTTGCGCATCCGTGAGCGCGTCGGCGATCATCTTGTGTCGGACTTGATGATCTTTGACAAAGGCACTTGGTTTGGGAGGCAATCCAGCCGTGGACTCGGTCAGTGTCAAGGAGGTGGGAACATCAGGCTGGAATCCGTAGAGCGCCTCAAAGGGGCTCAAGCCAGTTGTGCTCGACTTGGCGGTGTTGTATGCAAACTCTGCATGACTCAGCTGTATGTCCCAGTCGTCTTGGCTGGTCGAGGCGTATGTCCTCAGGTATTGCTCGAGGGTGCGGATCGTCCGCTCGGACTGTCCATCCGTTTGTTGGTGGTGCGAGGTTGACATGTTCAGCTTGGTGCCGAGATGGTCGAACAGACTTGTCCAAAACAAGGAGGTGAATCGGGGGTCTCGATCACTGACGATGGACTTTGGGAGGCCGTGGTGCTTGAACACATGCTTGAAGAACAGCAGTGCAAGGTCAGGCGCGGAGCATGTCGTCTGGCACGGCACAAAGTGTGCCATCTTGCTGAACCTGTCGACAAAGACAGCGATTGCATCGTGGTCCAACTTGGTCGTCGGTAGATGCGTGATGAGATCCATGGACATGCTGGTCCAGGGGCGGTCGGGAACAGGCAGGGGTTGCAGCAATCCTTGCTCTCGGGTCGTGCGTGACTTGACCATCTTGCAGGTATGGCAGGACTCGATGTACTTCTCGACGGTGCGCTTCATTCCAGGCCAGTATGCGACTTTGGCCAGTCGGTCGTATGTCTTCTCGACTCCAAAGTGTCCAGCGAGGGGCGAGTCGTGGACCTCTTGGAGCAACTTGGTCTTCAACGACGGAATGTCCGGCACACAGACACGGCTGTCCTTCTTCAGGAGGAGCAGGCCATCACGCACTGTGTACTCGGATGATTCGTCGTCCTTGGGGAGCTTAGACACCTTTCGGAACAGTTCTCCGAACTGTTTGTCGTTGGCGATGTTGTCTCGGACAACATCCAGCATCGTGTTGTCGACACTGACAGTCGACTCGTACAGTGACGCCAATTGGTAGTCGGGGCGTCGGGACAGTGCGTCAGGCACCACATTGAGTTTGCCTTTCTGGTATACAACCTCGTAGTTGTACTCGGCGAGGAACTCCATCCATCGCGCTTGGCGTCGGCTCAGGTTCTTCTTGGTGTCGAGGTAACGCAGTGACTGGTGGTCCGTCACAATCTTGAAGGGCTTGGCGGTACCGTGGAGGTACACTCGGAACTTCTGCAGCGCGTAGATGATCGCAAGCTGCTCCTTCTCGTGCACGGGATAGTTGATCTCGTGTTGGGACAGTTTGCGCGACTCGAAGGCAACGGGCCTTCCCTCCTGCATCAAAACAGCTCCCACCGCAAAGTCGGAGGCGTCGGTGTGCACGGAGACATCCGTGTTCGGGTCGAACACAGCGAGGACAGGAGCGTTCGTCAAGGCGTGCTTGAGGGTCTCGAACGCTTGGCGTTGTGGGTGGTCCCACACGAAGGGGCACTCTTTGCGGAGTAGGTCTGTGAGTGGACCGGCAGTGCGCGCCAGATCGGGGATGAATCGGCGGTAGTAGTTGACGAGACCGAGAAACGACTGCACGTCAGAGACGCATGCGAGCGGCGGCCACTCGACCACAGACTTGACCTTGGCGGGGTCGACTTCGATTCCTCTTCCTGAGACAACGTGTCCCAGGAACGGGACTTGATTCTTGAAGAACTCACACTTGGACAGTTTGGCATACAACTTGTGCTCGCGTAGCTTGGCCAGCACGCGGGCGACATGACCTTCATGGGTCGCTTCATCCTTGCTGTACACAAGGATATCATCCAGGTACACGATGACAGAGTTGTCGAGCTCTTGGCGGAACACATCGTTCATCAGCTGCATGAACGTGGCAGGTGCGTTCGTCAATCCGAACGGCAGCACTAGGAACTCGTACAGTCCGTAGCGAGTCCTGAAGGCGGTCTTGTGGACATCATCCTCGTGGATGCGGATCTGATGGTAGCCTGAGCGGAGGTCTATCTTGCTAAAGACCTTTGCTCCACTCAGACGATCCATCAACTCGTCGATCCTGGGCAACGGGTAGGTGTTCTTGATGGTCTGTTTGTTTAGTGCGCGATAGTCGACGCACATCCTGAGATCACCTTCTTTCTTCTTGACAAAGAGCACTGGTGCACCATACGGTGACTGGCTCGGGCGGATGAACCCATGGGCGAGGAGGTCATCCAACTGGCGCTTGAGTTCGTCCATCTCCGTCAGCGACAGTTGGTACGTCGGTCTTGACGGAGGCGACGAGCCTGGTTCGATGTCGATGCGATGATCGACGGTGCGTTGGGGTGGCAGGCATTGTGGCAACTGGTCGGGGAATACGTCCTTGTACTCGTCGAGCAGCTTGGTCACCACAGGCGGGGGACCGGGACCGGCTTGGTCGGTGTCGTCGACCTCACGCACGACACAGAGGAACGACGTGTCCTTCTTGATCAGCCTCTTGAATTGCATGGCTGAGAGGAGAGGTGGCATGTTGGGTGAGGCCATGCCCTGCAGGACAATGTCAGGGCCAACACGGACAGTGCGGCCTTTCCAGTCGACGACTGGAGTCGGCTCGGCACGAGCAAGCCAGCTCATGCCGAGGATGGCATCGAACTTGGTGTCGATCACTTGGAACAACAGGACAGGATGGTACTTGGGATGGAGGGCCACTCGCAGGACCACTTGGTGTGTGCACTGCTGCACACGATCGTCTGCAAGCGCCACACTCATCGGCGACTTCTTCTTGGTTGCATGTATGTTGAGCTCCTGGAGCAAGCGTCTGCTGACAAAGTTGCAGCTTGCTCCAGAGTCCACCATCATTCGGACGGTGTGACCTTGGACGGTGGCAGGGAGGTACAGCAGGGACTCTTCATGGTCCTCCTGCACAGCCTCCTGCACCATGACTTGACTTGGGGGAACGGGCGACACTTGGTCTTGGTTGGCTTCATCACGGCCACTCGGACATTTTGGATAGGGTTCGGCCATTGCGGGGGCCTGCGGCGTCAGCACGCCATTGCACACGACGTCCACGGCTTGCGGACACATGTCGGAAGCATCCGACACACACGACTTGACAGGGGTGAGGGCACAGGCGGTCCTGTCCCTCAAGGGTTCTTGATTTTCTTTTTTGTTTTGGTTTTCAATTTTGGTTTTCTCTTCACGTTCGTGGAGAGGCAGTGTTAGGGATAGCTCCTGCTTGTTCTCCACTTTGACTGCACACTTGGCTATTCTTTTGCCTTTCTGTTTGTTTGTGTGTAGCCTTGCAGTTCCCCTCCGATTTTCCGCCTTTTGCCTGTCTTTTCCGCTCCTTCCGCACTTCCGTTTTCCCGCGCTGCTCCGCTTCCTTTGTCTTCTTCGCACGCGCCGGTTTGTTTGTGCACGCGCCTTGCTGCGATTGGTTGCAATTCGGCTGCCGGTCATGTGTCCCCCCACCGGTGACTCATGACCTGCCTGACCGCCCCGATCTCTTGTTCATCTCGCATGCATTTGCCCCAACCTTATACTTGACCAATCCGCTTCTTGGACGTTGAGTCACATTGCTTCGCCTTTGCACGTTTCTCCTGCCAGGTGCTTCGCTTTTGCTTGCGCCTCTCTCGCTTTGGTTCTCTGCCTGTCTCGGTGGTCCTTCTCGGCCCTCGTTCGTGCATCGCCCCCTTCGCCCTGCTCGATCGCCCACTTTTCCCTCCCTTGGCCGCCCTTCGCTGCCAAGTCCGGACTTGTCTATAAATAGCCTGACCCCCGCGATGTGTAGTCGAACCTTAGCGTTCAAAATAGGACTAAATAAAGTGCCTTCTACTTTATTCTCTGAGTGTTCCTCACGTCTCATTTCGAGACAAGTCTTATCTTGAACGGATCTTTGCTTCCCTCGCTCCCTCTCCGAGTCCACTTCGGACTCTACCCTTGCTTTCCCTGAGCTCACTTCGAGCTCACTTCTTCTTTTGCCGTTGAGTCCCCTTTGGACTCTAACATCATTTTGAACGCTCCCTCTTGGCTTCCCGGCTGTCATGAACACCCTCTGCCTTTGCCCACTCCCTTCCTTTACCCTTGCCCTTTCCTTTCTGTTTGCCTGTCTTAGTGCTTTCCCTTCCTTCTGTTTGTTTGTTTCCCGCGCTGTGCTGCCTTGTTGTCTTACCGCAAGCACGCGCGCTGCCTGTGTTCCGTTCCCGCTCCCTTGCTGTTGGTCATGGGTTACGCCCACGACGCCGCCTCGACGCCGCCTGACGCCTTGGCGCCGCCAAGCCGCCGCCACTGACGCCCGCTGACTCACGGA